CCAACCCAATCTATTCTATGATTCTATGTACTTTGTTTTTGAAGAACCAGAGAGATCTTTTTGTCTTGCAGGACAGTCTCTGCATAAGTCCAGACTGGCTGCCAAAAGAGACAATCCTTCCCTCCCTGTGGCAGTGTTTTCCCAGCAATTTACCTATAATGGGACCAGTGCTCATGTATTGCATTATCACACACACCCAGTGGTGCTGTGTGAGGGAGGGACTGAGATGGTGAGAGATACAGGACCATAGCAAAAGTAGCAGAAACCTAAATCAGCTCAGGTCAGTTGTGAAACTGCTGTGTGTGAAGAGCTAAACCAAAGCACTTGTGCTGTTTGACTTTGAAATCTTGTATTTGGGAATGTGGAGTAGAAGGCACCATGGTGCAGCTACTTTAATTTGTCCTGCAAAGTCCACAGCATCTCTTTGAGGTGTTCTCTGCACTGTCTTCAACAACTCATCTGGCTGCATACATACATTAAGAAGTACACGTACTGGTTGCCAGCTATGTGGCCACATAATGTAAAATTAAAAGCTGAAATACTGCATGTCATCCAGAAATCCTGTGCAAAAAGACCTCGAAACTTCTGCAATTTCAGAGTGGTTTGAAAAGCTGGTTTTAAACTGAAGTCCTGTTACAAGAAAAGCACATGTGAAACTTGCAGGATTTTTTTCAAAAATTCAGTATTTGGATTCTATCTCTCTGATCACAGTCCATAAAATACAATTGACAAGTAGTTTTTAGATGGTTTTTTACAACAACCAATTGGTATCTGGATTATCAGTGTCATTGACAGTTTTCACTGTGCTCTGAAGGATGTTTGGTTCCAAACTCCCTGCTGACAATCCCAAAAGAGGAGCACTTGGTGGCTAATAATGTGGGGTTTTTTGTGTTCTTCATTCTTTCCACACAGATTTGGAAATGATGTGCAGCACTTCAAGGTGCTTAGAGATGGGGCTGGCAAGTATTTCCTTTGGGTGGTGAAGTTCAATTCTTTGAACGAGCTGGTAGATTATCACAGATCCACATCTGTCTCCAGGAACCAGCAAATATTTCTCCGGGACATTGAACAAGTGCCACAGGTAAGAGAAGTGTCCTCATAGAATGTGCTTTTCAGGCTATTGGCTATTGAAACCACGGTCTGAAGTGCAATTGCATCTTAGAGTAAATGAGTAGGGATGGAGAGAACCTGCCTGATGTTTTTCTGGTCTGGAAGCATGTTTTTAGATTCCACAGCCAGAGTTATGCTGGGAAATAAGCTGGCTGCTTGTGCAAAGCCTACCTGCTAACTTTTTGCCTCCCCTTCAGTTCTGGCAAAGTATTATACGTGTCTTACTGTTTATGGATACTGTTGCAGGATGGTCATCTGATTCCTGGGATTTTAAAATGAGTTTACTCCTGTTTTAGGACATAATAAGAAAGGATGGTTCTACTTGTACTGGTTCATAGCCAGAACTGTACCCCCCTGTAGCCAGTGAAGCCTTCGTACTGGTCTTTCCTGAAGAGATGGTTACAGGTAGCAGCATATGGAACATCTCTCACCTGCTGGTTTGGATCTAACCAGTGTTAAGAGAAACCAAAATCTACTGCTAAGTGCCAGCAGAGCAGCTTGAGTATATCTAGCTCTTTTGTTTTGTTCCATTTCCCAGGGCAATCAAAACGTTGTGTTGGATGTAACTGGATCTGTTGTTGATTGTGGATAAATCCTTTTGCCTCCATGTGCAGCACTCTAGTTCTGGCTTGAAGACGAAGGGTGTGGAACTCATACTGCTCTGCAGGTGCCAGGGACACCCTTTGCCACAGTTTTCTGAATGAACATCTGGCTCTGAGCTGTGGGGTCATTGATAAAACAGGATGAGAAAACAGCTGGCTGAAAATGCCAAGCATGAAGATACCTTCCTAGCCTCATGATTTTAAGCATGCAAATGCATTTTAAATTAACTGTTAGCTTTTCCTTAAGAATGGAGGCATTTGCTAAGCAGCCAAAATGCTCTGCAACAGAATTTCTTCATAGTGGAGAGTTTTAAGGAAAACATGTAAAATGCCAGCATCCAGTTTTTAAGGGGGAACTTTGTGTACCACAGTGTTAGGTAGATCAGTAATATTTGTGCTGTCAGTTGGTGAAAACAGGATAAATAAGCAAGAAGACTATTTCATTACAATAGAGTACAGATTTACAGTGGGTCACGAAGACTGGAAAATACTAGGAAAGCTCTGAGTCATCTACTGTCTTTATTTCAGCTCTTTCACAGAAACTGGACTTTTTTTCTTGACTTATGCTTTCCAATTCAAGCATCTTGTTCCAGATGTTGGAAACCAGCTTGCAGGGAAATGAAACAGCCCGAATGTTTATTGTTAAACTCCGGTGTGAGTTAAGCTCCTGCCTGAGGGAGCAAATATCTTGTGCTGTGGATGATTCTCACTTTGTGTATCTTTTTTCTTTCCCCTTTCAGCAACCAACGTACGTTCAGGCCCTGTTTGATTTTGATCCCCAGGAGGAAGGAGAGCTGGGCTTCCGCCGCGGAGACTTTATCCAAGTCCTTGACAATTCTGACCCCAACTGGTGGAAGGGAGCCTGCCATGGACAGACGGGCATGTTTCCACGCAACTATGTGACCCCAGTGAACCGGAACATCTAGAGATAAATATTAGAGATTATTTAAAGAAACCAGAGAAACAGTAAATACACATACAGAGCCTAACTGCAGCCAGTGACCTAAAATCGCACGGCGATAAAACCTGAGTCACCTTTCACCGGGAGGTGATCTTCCTTCACTCAGTACGGAACTTCAGGGGCGGGGCAGGGGAAGAGTTCAACTTACACACCAAAACTTATCTTTAAAAAAAAAAAAAAGAGAGAGAGAGAAAAAAACCCATGAAAATAACAAATTTCCTCAGCTGCTCCTGGGTTACCCCCTTTCATTCGCTCTTCTTGTTTCCCCCTCCTCCTCTGTCCTCTGTCCGTCAGTGCATGAAGTTTTAATGCCATATAAAGTCCTAGCCATGCAGTTAAAGGAAAAGGGAGAAACTCTGCTGGTATTTTCTCTCTCTGCAAACGGTCTTCATTTGACATGAAGGGACACGAGAGAAGAACCAAATCCACAGTCCTGCCTTTAAAAAAAAAAAAATACAAAAATCATCAGTCTCTGCTTTTGCCTTCAACATTCAGATCTTCTTGCCTGGGAAAGATGAGGTGTTAATCTAATTTTTATTGTCTCTTCTCCTTTGGCACTTTCTTCTGAAGCTCAGCAGCTTCCAAGCAGGGGAAGGGAGAAGAGTTGTGTGGCTTTTTGTTTTGTTTTTTGTTTTGTTTTGTTTTTTTTCTTTTGAGTCACAGTGCTGCTTTGAGAAACTCCAGCCTACAACTGAAGTCTGTTAATGCTGTGCTTACAGCTTTTTTGTTTTCTCTTAAAGGTGTACGGTTGAGCACATTCTGTAATTTTTTCCATAGTGCCTTTCCCTTATTTTCTTTTTTTATTTTTTTTTTTAAGTTAAAAGGACAGTCCAGAGCTTTTCAGAGGTGTTTTTTCTGCAGATGTGTAAATAAATACTTTTGGGGGAAGGGTATAAAGGAAGGTGGTTTTATCAATGGACTTTTGAGGAAAAAAAAAAAAAATCTACAAACAGAGATGGAGCTTTAATCTTCAGATTTGTCTTACTATTCAACTTCCCTTATTCTAAGGAAAAGCAAATCAAGGCATTCAAGTGGCAGCTTAGGCTGCTCAGAGTTGGGGAGCTGCAACCAGGAGCCTCTAAAGAAGTCAGAGAAAGGGGGGAAGTTATAACTAGGGAAAATGAGGAAGACTGTTTTGGGGAGGGAGGGTTAAGAGGGGAATTTGGGAAATAATAGCCCTGAGATGTCCTGTAAAATGTACATTCCTTTGATGGAAAACTTTATAATGCAGAGAAACCTCAAGAAATAGTGCTTGAAAAAAAACTTTCTGCTATTAGTGAATGTTTCTACGTGATGCATGTAATCAGCCTGTCTCTTTGGCCTGGATAGGGAACATTTGCAGTCGTGTTGCTCTTGAAAAGTGGGGTTGACATCACTGTTCTCCAGTTTCTCCTTCCTCCTCAGGTCAGTGTTCCTGTTGAAGTAGACTCCCCCCCGCCCCGCTCCCCATTCACAGCAGGCTGTGTGATGACTGTAATCCCCACCCCTCACTGGAATGGCATTTATTGTGGCCGTTTGCTCCTCCACCCGAGCAGTGTGATGTTAAATTGGACGCAAAGGAAAGCAATCAAGCCGCACCGCTCTCTGTGCCAATCTTCAGTTGCGTTATTTTTCCTTTTGATGGCCGTTTTTGGCTGGATCCCTTCACCCCACCAACGAACCCCAAAACTGCAGCGGAGATCTCCTCCCGCCCTGCCTAAGCACAGGCAATCTTTTGTTGGAGGGTGCCTTTTTTTGTACTAAGTGTTACAAATGTTTTATTCCTGAGATGGACACTGCCTTACACTTTAATTTTCCAGCAGGTGAAAGAGAGATCTATCCTGTAGAGTATTACTTTCTCCCCCTCTCCTTGCTAGCTGTCACTCACTTTCTTCCTTCTTTGTAAAGTGATTGGAAAAGGAATCTATGGCATTCTACACCTGGACCATTTGATTGTTTCCTTATTTTGGAATTGGTGTATATCATGCAGCCTTGCAGACATATGTCTTGTGTGTGTATATATCTTAAAAAAAAAAAAAAAAAATCAGTGTTTAAATAAAAAAAAAAGGCCTATGTACTTAATCCTTTAACTCTGCAGCAGCATTTGGTAGATAGTAATTAACTGTGAATAATAAATATACATTGAATTCTTCACTTGAGCATCTGTCTGTTATTTCAGTGAACTGACCGAAATATGACTGACCAAGCTAATTTATAGAATATTTATTTATAGAATATAATTTTATATTTATAAAGTATTTAATCGCTATAAGAGGGATTAGTTGTGAGGTGTGCTCTGCCCTGAAGCGCTCAGACTCTTCAGCATCGTAGTTCAGTCTGGTTGTGCTTGGGTGAATTCATTACCCTTTCAAGGAGAGCCATGTCACTTGGCGTGTGTGGCATTGGGGATAGTGAGGAGGGGGAAAGGAATGGTCATGTCACTTCCAAGACTGAAGACCATGTATTTCTCAGCTGAATTAGAGTGGCACTGGTTTGTTTTGGGGTTTTATTTTAAGGTTGTTTTTTTTTTCCCCTGACTGCTCAGGTGTCCCTGTGGTACAGACCATAATGTCATTAGGAGCCAGTAACGGAGAATGAAACACCAGTGATTTCTGGAGCGTCTTGCTGAAGGACAGACAGAAGATGGGTGTGTTGACTTGTTTAAGCACAGACTGTCCCAGGAGCTTTTGCTCTGCTTGGTCAGGGCCTTGCAGATGGTTTTCACTTTTGTTGCCTGAAGAAAGAGCTGCCCAGTTGTGCTAAGGAGATGTGTGGGCAGCTGTGTAAGGTTACCTGGCAGGAGCTGCCAGCCTTGTTGGCTCTGCAGCTCCTCTCCAGCCTTCGCTTCTCTTCAGAAAGTGCCTGTGAATTTTAGGTTGCCCAGAGAAGCTGTGGCTGCTCCTCCCTGGAAGTGTTCAAGGCCAGGTTGGATGAGGCTTTGAGCAACCTGGTCTAGTGGAAGGTGTCCCTGCTGCTGGCAGGGGGGTTGGGACTGGATGAGCTTTGAGGTCCCTTCCAACCCAAACCAGTCTGGTATTCTATGACTTTGTAGTTAATTTTAATACACAAGAGGAAAAGGCTCACGTGAGGGTTTGGGTTGTTTTTTTAACAGTTGCTCTTAGTTATTATGCTCAAATACAGATGTAGTCAAGGGGTTTGTGGTTGCTCAGAAACACCTGGATATTCCTGTGACAAGTTAGTTATTTTTCATTTGTGCCAGTCAAGTCCACAGAGAAATGATTTGCAGCGCGGTTGGGAGTCCTTGGCGGTTTCTGTAGTGCTATAACAGAACGTGTTGCTCAAAATCATGTGCTGTTCATACCTCGGGTATCTAATGAAAAGTTCCAAAAGTTTTTCCCTTCCTTGTGCTTTATAGAGTGGAGATAAATGTGTATTGCTGCTGGTGTGACTGGTGGGCGAGGCTGTGGCGGAAGGACTCCTGGCAGAAGCCCTTTCTTCACGGGGGTTCTTTCCCTGTGACAGCAGAGCTGCAGAAAACGCCTCAATCCCCCTTATAATCCCCCTTATTTTACTGCCCGACC